AAAACTTACTTTCTATCGTGCCTTAGCCTCTTTCACCACTTTTTTTTAGCCTGGTTCAGACGCTCTTCACGACTGGTGAGCTTGATTTTCACTTGTTGTAGAGAGATGTCATCCAAATTGTCGAAAGTCTAAACCATACTCTCATAAGTATCACCAAGACCAGTCAATAGAGCAGTTAACACTTCTCTATCCGAAACTTCCTCATGCATCAGCGTTAATTCCTGCCGAATAGCCTCAACTCTGTGAATATAATCACGTATCAATTCATTTTCCGGATCAAATTCGACATTCAGAAGCTCTCGACGCTTGAACATTCCTACTGCAAAGGACTTCTTCTCGAAATCATCAACCAGTGCAGCACACTTGGCCTGAGGACGCTTCAAATGCGCTAGTCCGACTCGAGTTCCATCATCCAACGTATTCGTCAGGATATCATTCAACAACAGCACCTTGTTCCTATACTCTTTGCGTTTCTGCTTTATAGCACTCGTGCCGTCCTTCTCACGCTTATTCTCTCTTCGAATCATGATCTTCCAGCACTTCCGAGCACGTAATACCGCCTTAAGGCCTTCCTTGTATGCAAGAAATTCTTGCCGTCGAACTTGAGCGAGCGGATAGTATCAACTCTCTGAACTTCCATGCTCTCCCTTTGGGCTCATAACCTTAAAGACGTACAAGTTTTTTAGGCAGCACTTGTTGGTCGGCGTAGACAACAGTCTTGGACGCCTTGAGATGTATTTGTGTGGTGGTGAGCAGATTTCTTTCTCTCGATCTCTTCTTACTTTAGAACTAGAATTTTCCATACTTTCTGACAAACCCTTGTCTCAGAATTTAGCGTTGAAGTCGATCACTCTCTTCTCGACATCAACTTTATGTCTTCAATGGTCTTTATTTGCATATCATCACAACTTCATATACAGATCAGCACCATTAGTTATCAAATTCTTCACACCACTCACACTGTACTTCTTATCAAATCATATGCAAGTTTTAACTCGCATGAGCGGATCTGGTCTCAGTTCTTCCAGTCGCTAAGCCCTTGCTGCCAAATCCTCATGCCACTTCCGTGACGTTCATAGCCGTTTCGGCCAGCTCTTAGCTCGGGCTCTCTTCTCAAAGCGAACTGGGATTCCTCGACGACCCTTCTGTTTCTCATTGACATTCTCTGTCATGGGCTCGTCGGCTTCGGGATTATTCTTATCCCATACTTTCTTCTCCTCACTATTCAGTGGTTCAGTAAAAGCGTGGTTTGCATCCGCGTTTACTCTTGCGATACTTACTCCCATCGTATCTCTGTGACCTTGAAATGCGTCCTGTGGTAGAGGTTTCATCATTATATCGGCCACATT